ATATATATATATATATGAGTAAAGATCTATTGACATTAGGTGTTGAAGTTAGTGAAATTACGCTTTTAATAAATTTTTGTACAATGTAAATTTAATTGATCCAACCCTTGTATTTGATGTTTTAATTAATTAGATCAAGTATAAGAAATTTCATACAATTCAAAAATTAATTGGTAGTTCATCACATCATTTTATTTTAACGTATAATATACATAATATTCAAAATATATATAAATATCTTTTGTTAAATAACATATCTAGAAAAGTCCGAATAATGTGAAATTCGATAAATATGATCATAAATATAATATCACATAATTCAATGACCGAATTGGTTAAATTACATTCTACAAAAAAGTTATCAGTGTTGTAACATTGTGCATCAAGTAGCTGTGAATGGATGGGTTAATTAACTCTCATAATGTCGGATTTCAATAGCCAATCATCATAAAGGTATAGCACTAAAATGGGCAAGCTTAGGGAACTCCAAAGATGTAGATTGTTGATAACTTGAGTTGTTACATTGCAAGTATATATAGGAACAATTTGCGAACAGTGCCTCATTTTATGACAATAATGCAAGTAGCACACTCAGAAAGCTACTTGATTCATTTTTCTATTCAGAGTAAAAAGTTGTAGGTGGAAGTATACGTATGAAATGTTGAACAATTCAATCTATTCTATAATAACCAGATAAGGTAAGGACACAGAAACAGCTAAAACTGGTTTAAACAGAATGGATATGGGATACACAAGGTGGTTGGAAAAGTACTTTGAACAGTTTGATCACCATCATCCACCATGCTTTTAGTTAAAAGTAGTGATAAAAACATTTATAGGTCAAAAGAGGAAACCCGACAAAAACAAAATGGTCTTGTAACCAAGCAGTGCCACTTCTCATCAAAGTGGATATTCTGGGTTCATAAACTATTTTGTAATAGTTCTTATGCATCAAAACAAGGAATTAACTCTAACATTAGCCATAAAATTCTAGAATAAAACCTACTGTCGATATGTATGCAATAAAGTTTTGTTATGTTTATCAAATTAGAGGACAGCAAAGGACAAATACCTGAAGCGAACTCGCTTAAGCTCATTACCACCACCTGGCTGGGAGCACAAACTTATGTACACACCTGGTTCATCTTGCACTACCCACTCTGCCTTCCCACTTTGTGTTTTGGCACCATTAGATAATATCTGATTTGCTACATTGCTGCTGCCTTCATTTTTGGGAATGACAGCGTTTCTTATATGGATCTCATCTAAGGAATGATCTAGAATACTATTAGTGGTTTCAGCACAGAGCTCTGAACTGGAGTCAGCATTATGTCCTTCTGGTACTCTTTCCACCATTTCCTTCAACTGTAACAAAATTTAACATCCACAGCATCAGAGATAATTAATCAATGGCTAAAGCACAAGAATGGTCAACTTCAACTTAATCCAGCATCTCTTGATTGCCACAAGCCAAAAGCTATATATCATATATAGGAATTACAGGAATTGTGCATTTGTTACCACACATGTAATTCTCTAATTATAATGAATAAGGATACAAAATAAGAAAATAGAAAAATAAAAGATAACAGGAAATAATAAGTAGAATCCCTAATTTTCACTATATAAGTTTCCCTAATTAAAAAGAAATAAATCATATCAAATCATATATTTAACATCATAGATTCAGTGTTTGGTACAGTGTTTCTAGAAACACTGTACCAAACACTTCTCTTAAATCCTTCAAAAGGTAAACAGTGTTTCTGGCATTTAAATGTGCTTGTCAGCAAAGATAACATTTAAATTGTACACTTTCCATGGTGCATTTCATATGTATGGGAGAACAAAAAATACAAGAGAAATTTTTAAAATGTGACAAAGAAAATTTTGATTTTTGTTTCTAGAGCTCTCTTTCTTACCTACTCTTCATCTAAATAAGAGAAAAATTCAAATTTTTGAACTTTGCTTTCTTCCTTAACTCATTTGTTCAATCCAAACCTAAGGGTGGTGCTGAGTAGAAAATTTTCACAATTTCTAAGGTACAAATTAACATTTACGGCGCAAATGTATTGAGGATGAATCAAGGAAGGTTTTCTTCATATATATATAGATATCAAAGTGACAGAAGAGTTATTTTTATAAATTTGTCAAACAAGGATAGATTGGTAAGATGGATGAACTGGAAATCCAAGAGAACAAACAAAATTTGGCTTATTACAGTGGAATTCAATTGACGAGGTAAAAGAATTCCTTAAAAGGATGAATAATGGTGTTGTTGACCCATATGATATTCCTATTGAAGTTTAGAAGTGCGCCAAAAAATGAAATATTATTTGGCTAACTAAACTATTTAACGAAATTTTGAAATTTAAGAAAATGTCATATGAGTAGAAGTCATAGAGGAGCGCCTTGGTTCCTATATTTAAGAACAGGGGAGATATTCATATTCTGTAAACTATAGAGGTATAAAACTTATTAGTCACTAAAATTATTGGGAAAAGGCAATTGAACAAAGATTAAAGAAAGAAAATAAAAAAAGGAATTCAGAGAATCAATTTGGCTTTGAGCCAGGAAGGTCTACAAGTCATTTATCTTTTATGGGGTTGATGGAAAGATACAAATGCAAATAAAGAAACTTACATATGGTTTTCACTAAATAAGAATATATAAGCGAGTGGAAGACTTTGGAAAACAAAGGTGTTAACAGGCTTTTTATCCTGGATATACCAAACATGTTTGATGGGGTAACTACTACTGCAAGAACTACAAGAGGTGAAATAACGGACTTTTCTATAGGGATATGATTGTATCAAGGTCCAGCCTTAAGTTCTTATTTTTTTAATCTAATTCTTAGAATATATGTGAGTCTAACTCAACCTTATAAAACTAGCTTATAAAATGAAGAATATTGCTCTCCATTTATATATTTTATTTTGGTTATATCACTAGTTGATATGATTTTCAATACACCCCTCATGCGAGGACCGGACATTTCAAGTGTAAAGTTTATTAGACTGGACATCTATTGGTGGTCCAATAATAGCCTGATAGTGAGTAGCATGATAAACCTAACAAATCTCCAATACACCTCCATTTATGCGAGGATTGGACATCTCGAACATGAAATTTGCAAGACTGGATTTCTACAAGTGATCTGATAAAAGTCCAATAGCAGATGGCCTAATAAGCCCAACACCACTCACTAGGATAGGCTTTGATACCATTTTAAAATGCAAGCTTGAGCCTAACTCAACCTTAAAAAACTAGTATATAAGATAAGGATTATTCTCCACTTATATACTCTGTTGGTTATATCACTAGTCAATGTAGGATCTCCAACACTAATCTTGGATGTGCTTACCAAGGGCATACAAAATGATTATCCCTACTTACATGTTTTTTTCAAATGATATAGTTTTGATGGAAGAATCAAGGCAACTAATTAACTTTAAACTTGAGTTTTAGAGACACATTTTGGAATTAAAGGGCTTTTGCTTAAGTAGGAATAAGGTAGAGTATATGCATTGCAATTTTAGCAAGAGACGAGAGGAATGTGACTGGTAAGTAAAAAAAAAAAAAAAAAAAAAAAAAAAAAAGGTTTATTTTTTTTTTTGGCCCCCAAA